GTGAATTAAGCAAGCACAGATCAGACCCCGATGTACAAAGTGCAGTGGCAGTTTTCTGGAGTGTCTGCCTGCCAAGCAGGTACTAGACTAGAACACACAACTCATTTACAAAGAGTGTCAGTGAAGTCACCTACCAACGTCCTATACTGCTACCAAAAGTGTGTTGGCTGCTAAATGACTTTACATTCTTTTCTCTTTTTTCTACTAAGCTTATTTTAGAAAGGTTGTATATCAATCTGGAAAGTGCTGTGAACATGATGTTATCATAATGGTACCATATGCCAGTCGACTACTTACAAATCATCCATGCTTCTCTCGCTTTGTAGATGGTAAAAGAATGATAAAAAAGCTTGATTCTCCACATGCTTACAATGACTTTATATCAGTGTACTTCCATACATTATGCTTGTTTAAAAAATAAAAAACTGTACCAAAGCCTCTGCTTTCCAAGGCTCTTAAAATGCATGCCTCTGACAGATGACTGCTTTTGCTATTTCAATAATTGTCTCCAAAACAGACGTGGGTATTAAAGATTCAAACTGTGGAAAAGTAGAAAATTCTCCACAGCTACCTTACCTAGCAGTACTATCTGCAGAGAAGTTGCATCTTCTAAGCACTGGAGCTTCTGATTTGCTTTCTTGTTCTGACAACTTAAGGAGGCATGTATGAATTCCGATATTTCATCTCAGTTTCTCAGGAGTTTGTTGGCAGATTTCACACGTGACTAACTTTTAAGCAATCATATTCTGGCAGTTCTCTGGTTCCCTTTTAACTCTTCAAATTACTTTTCAGAGCGACTATTATTGCTCATAAAATGTGTTGAGTTGAAAACCCTAGAAAATGAAGTATATGAAGTCACAGCACAGAACTATTTTTACTTAGTAGCTGTCTCTAGCAGCAAATCTGACTTCAGCCTCTTGCCCATTCATTCATTATCCTCCACAAAGTCAGGCTGTTATTAGGAGGAACTCTCAGTGTCAATTTCTATTGCAAAGGAAAAAGTTAGGCTTACCAGCACTGATCTTATTTGCAATCTGGTTCAAGTTGGATGCGCTCCCCTTTCCTGCTGCGTTTCTGCAAGCTGGCTAAGTGGTGACCTTCATCCTGCATCTCTCTCCTTCTCTCAGAAAGAAGCTTTCATACAAATTTCAGCACTTCCACTTCAGAGCAGCAGCCAGACAGGAGAGACTGCCTGGAGGGCTTAGCACTACCATTCATACACAAGTGTTTGTAAACACACACATCTTACAGAATTCTGGCTTAGTCTTTGAGCATCCTGACTAAATACCTCCGATTCTATGGGCTGCAGTCCACCCTCCTGCAGCATAGGATATTGTCTCCTCATGAATCTGGTAAATAATCATTAATTCCTAAAATAAGGATCCAGTTTCATAAACTCTTGAACAAAATTTCTCCTCTCTATACACATGCCCCATGTCACTCACAGGAATCACATACAATATCATGTCAGGATTCCTCTGGCAGTCCTTAAAACTGCTTCTATTTGGGATTTGTCTCCTAGTAGCTCTTTCAATTTTCTACAAGCTCTTTCATCTCTCTCACCTTAACACACAGAACTTCCTCACAATGTTTTCAGTCAGTTTTACGCAAAGAAAATTACCAGTCATTACTGCAGTACAGCCAACCAGCACAGTACAGAACCACGAGGCAGAGGGTTTTTTTTGCCTTTCCCATTAACATCTAAACAACTCATTTATTCACAATGATAACTGTATCTATTTTCTCAGTCGAAAATTTCCCATATGTGGGCTCCAGTAATATCTGAGAAAACCAGGGAAGGATTCAGTTGCCCAAAGATGGATGCCAACTGCTTTTTTTTAAGATGCCCTAGGAAAACCAAGATAGCTGCATAGTGCACCAGATGTGACAGATGCCTCATAGGACAACTGAACGCTGATGAAGAAAAGGCAAGATGGCAGAAGCCTGAATCCTACCAGGAACTACAGCGTGGTCCAGTGTTCATCACCATCAGTGGAGAAACTCCCAGTGACTTTGGCTTTGCATCGGAGCTAGTCTCTGACTTTTGCACTATCCACATGATACGAAAGGGAAGGAGGGGCTGCATAAGTAACCCTACATCTCCCAGCACTCCAAGAAACAACTGGAACTGATATATCTGCATTAAATGGCAATAATAAAGAAATGTGTAAATAGGTAATTCAAAACCAAGGTGGTGAAGATGGACCACACATACTCTCTGCACCTGAAAGTAAAAAGCCAACAGCCAGCACACACGTTGCAGCTCTTACTGTGAATAAACTAGTGCACTGTAATTCCATGGTCCCCCAAGTCTCCAGCCTCCATACTTGTTTGCGTTTTTGATTTTGTTTGTGTTTAAAAAAAGCTTGTGGCTTTTACATAAAGTACCTGGGAAGTGTATAAAGTCCTATTTAAATTCTTGCCCCAGAGATTTGCACAGCAGTGTCACCAAAAGTAGTAATTATACGGAAGCTCTTTAGTATGCAGTGGTATGCAGCACTTCTGTCTTTAAACTGAACAGCCATAGTAGCATTATAAATATTATATTTAAATAGTAGCTCAAACCACATGGCTTTGAAAACAACAATCAAGTACACACTTGGTCAGGGCATAGAATTAGAAATGCCTTCACAGACAAAGATAAAAGGGTGTCAAGAATAGTGACCACACTGTAGAGAAATAGTTTACACGGGCTTCACTTGAAGGTCCGTTCCCAGTTCCAGCACAATTCACTGTTTTCAGAGGTTTGCAGTTTTGCTGCATGCATGTGCTTAAATATTAAGTCTGCTAACACTTACAGGATGATTCCAAGTAAAGATGGCCCCATGCCCCATTCATAGTAATACATTCACAGCCATGCAACTTTTTAGAGGAGACCTCTGTCTTCTATTTGATACCCTGACTATTAACATATTTAATTGTAAAAACAAGACATCAGATTAGTCCTTTTCCAACAACTAAGCAATAGGGACAGCACAGTTTATCCTGACATTTTGTATTTTACCTCAGACATCTTTTTGTATGTTTTCTGGGCTTTTTACACTAAAATTACAAAATTTTATCAAGTGTATGGCTGGTTGATTAGAAAGACAACACTGACCATTTTCAACACTTCATTTGTTGAAACACTTTCACCATACACCATAGAAGTTCCACAGTTCCATAAGAGATTTACTTGGCTATTAACAAGAGCAAAAATAAAACTAAGTTCAACAGATTGAACAGTAAAGGAGTCTCCAGGGTTGTTGCTGACACATAAGAACTCACACACCTGCACTTAAATTGATTTTGCAAACACTTATTACTATCCTTAAGCACAGCTGCTTATGAGTACTTACTATCCTAATGCAAAACCAATTCAGGTGCCTCACACTAACTTAAACAGACTCCACACCAATTCCAGTGAACATAAACTTACTCTTAAGCTTTTGCAAGACCAGATTCTCAGTCTGTAAATCATCAGATAAAGTCAAATCCTATGATAAAACTGATTAGATTATTTATTTGCTTTTAGTTAGACCTGCTACTGGCAAAATAAGAATCCATCCATCAGATTTTACTCTGAGAAGGAAAACATGTGGAACTTAATAACAAAGTGGACATGTAAAGAAGGTCCAAACAGATAGGGGCAGAAGAGCTTTGGATGCACTCTAAGGGAACTCAAACAGAACAGGAAAGATTCAGACTCACACTTGGATATACCAGAAGAAACCTCCACGGAATTAATCAGCTTGGTGATGTGAAATTTAAAAACGTAACACCTATGCACGTGACTGAGATTTCTGTTACTAAAGTACAAGACAGTCACAGGAGGGATCTCTCCCATTTGACGTGATATAGAAGGTGGATAGGCTGCTACATCCTAGTTAATTCATAATTAACGTTAGGTATTCATATTCTAAACCAAAAAATCATAAAGACATAAACTGTAGGCTTCCTTGTAGTTAACTTTGGACTTCCCTCTTGCTAGGGGGTGAACCACAGCCTTCACAGGATTTAGTGGTCACAGGGTTTATTAAAATCTTCAACCCCTGTGATACCATGAGAGATTGGCTGCCCTGCTTTCACATTATTTTGACCCTCTGCCCACCTCTCAGGGCCATGCAGATGCCCAGTGCTTCTAGATGAGTATTAATAAACATAAGAACTCCATGCTGTCACCTGAGGATCTCAGCTAAACACTGAAGGATGCTGATGTCCTCACACTCCCCAACTTCTCCCTCTACGTTCGCAACCATCTGGCAGAGTGGCAGAAGTCCCTCCTATGCAAAAGAAGGGAATGTTTGGCAGCGCTGAGTAGCACCAGTGAGAGTACGATTACACCAGCTTCCATCCTCAAGAAACTGAAGCTGTCACTTACACGCTGCGTCCTACAACTTCTCCTTCGTGCCTTTCCCCTACTCCAAAGACTCCCTTTATCTTGAGCCCTGTTAAGTACATGCACGGGAAGCAACGCGACGGCGAGCAGCGAGGCGTCCTCCCGAGTCCTGCCGCCAGCGCAGAGCAGCAACCCGGGGACGGGGGACACGCGGGGACAAGTGTGCCTCTGGCAACCAGAAGAAAGTTGGTGCTTTCACGACACCCCAGTAAACCATACCGTGCGTGCATGTGTGGTGCGGGGAAGCTTCCGAGAGAAGCGCTGATGGAGGGAGTCCTAATAAATCCGTAAGGTCTCCCTTAGGCACGTATCTCTTAGATCAGCACTTCCAAAACCATCAGGAACCCAGAGAAGGCTCGGGGAAAGGGACGGAAGCCGATGACTGGAGAGAGATCGCCCCCTACCCTGCCCCTAACTTGTCCGGGGTGCCCGGGAAGCTTCAGGAGGAGCAGGGAAAGGGACTTCTTCCCCTGCAGACAGACGGTGCAAAGGGAGCTAGCTTCCTGCCCCACAGCAGCATCGCCGGGAACGAACGGGGCGTGGGGGGCCGCAGCTGCGGGCAGGGGGCCCCGGCACCGCTTTTTTCCCGCAGCGTCCCGCACCTGTCCCGCCCCGCACCTACCTCGGCGGGACCCGGGGCCGGATCGCCGCCGTCGGGGCCGGATCCGCGGGGCTGCGGCGGCGGCTGCGCGGCGTTGCGGGAGGCGGCGGCGGGAGGCGGCGAGCGGCAGCCCGGGCTGCGACGGCCGAGCCGGGGCCGTTCGCACGGGGGCACCGCGCTGCCGCCGCTGCCCAGGACGGGGAGGCGATGCTACCGCGGGGGACTCCGAGCGCCTCTTTGGCTCTGTTAGGAAAGTTACCGCTGCCACACGACCCACCTTAAACCCGCCTCCCCGCAGGACCTGGGGGAGGGAAAAGGAGGAGGAAAGAGGGAGGAGACAGGGGTGGGGGCTCGCAGCCGATCAGTCCCCAGCGCAACACCAAGTCACAACAGCATCTCTCGGGCTGTCGCTGCGGTGCTCGGCTTCAGAGTGGCTCTGCTCCCCTTGGATTCTCGCATGTACACGCGGCACACGGGGCCAGCTTCAGAGCGCCGAAACTTTCCCCTTTCCGGTAGCGCTGATACCAATTTTTGGCTCGTTCATTTGCTTGTGGTTGTAGTCTGGTTATTTGTTTAACCAATTACTGCTTGAGGGTAGTTATTTAGTGTCTAAAGCTTGAGTTTTATGTATGTTTTTTTACTGCTCGATTTAACTAAAATACCGTAAATAGACTCAAAGGACAAAGAATCAAATTGGCACCCTGACATCTCAAGGTTGCAACCCCAGCGTAGGTGGGAGCAAGGAAGGCAGCCTCTACAGCTGAGGCAGAATCGCTCAGCAGAGGGAAGATTGGAAAGAAAAAAAAATAGTCCTGCCTCTTGCAGCTGAAAGAATAGGATCTCGAGAGCAGACTTCTATCAAACTCCATGGATGTGCTCAGCAGGAGGTCACGCAAACTTCTAGAACCACTTCAAGGTGCCTCAGTTTGTAACCGCACGTGTGCATGCAGTTGCAGGGGCATGCAGACATAGGCAAACACGCAGTTCTCTGAGTGCCTAAAGCAGCCTTTGGATAGAGAGGCTGGCTGGTGCTGATGCCAGGCAAGACTGAACAGATGCTAACAGATAGAGGAAAGCACGATGGAAAATTTACTTCTCTAGCATCCTCTACTGTTCAGATTATCTGCCCTTGTACTGCCAGATCAGCAACACCACTGCTGCTTTTTAGGGCAGTTCAATGAAACTGGACGATGCCCAGAGATATCAGGCAGGGAATGAATTGTACCCCACGGTTGTAATTTCCTTCCAGGAGTTAAAAACATACTTCCAGGAGATAAGAATCTTTACATTAAAATGCTTATGAAAGGTGATTTTAACAGCTGCACTAACTTAGCTTCTAGCCAACAATTGTATGATCTTACATGAAATTAAGATGAAACGCTCTTTGTGTTGTGCAGCATTACTGATTATTTTCTAATTAGAATAACGTTTGCCAAGATAAGGCCTTTTAACACCTCAGAATGTAAGGTGTGTAAGATCAAGTCCCTGTTCGATAATACAGCAAAAAGACTAATGAACATTCGGTCACTGCAGCCATGTGATGACTCCCACCTCATACTGCATCTCACTGTACAGGTGAGACTGCCAGAATCCTGCACTCTGCATTTCATGGTAACATGCCAGTGCAAGACTGCAGGTAGATGGCAGACTTCCAGAACGGATAGTGTGGGTCAGCATTGGTGCCCTGTTTCCATCAGGGGCTCACAGCAATCTCCCAGTCTCCTCAAAAACCTCTCCGCTCCCACCAGTGCTTTTGTACCTCCAGGTCCCTGACATTCCCCTTGTGTCAGTCTGCAGTGCTCCCAGCTCCTTGCACCGGCCACCTAAACTAGGAGAGGGTTGCAGTGGAGAACACCTGGCACTGACTGCTGGCTTACCCACTTTTTTTGCAAACCCAGCCAGCAAGAAAGAGTGGAGCTATTTTTCTTCATTAGCTATGGTTAGGGAAACCTGACCAGGATCCGCAGCACTTCAAGTGCCCGAGATAAATTTATCCCTATTTTTCCCTTCCTGTTTTTAATTATTTTTTTACAAACATGCTAATAATGAATATCAATAATAAATTAGCAATCACGTTTATTTATTAAATTATTTTCAATATTTAATAAAATGGAATAGATCAAATTTGAACTAGACTTATTGAATAAAGGTAATTAGTTTTATTGTTTGTATAGGAATATTGAAAACACCAGTTGCTCCATACTGATGGCACTGTTCATGACTCAGCACTGTCACCAGATTCCAGCTGGGGAATTGTTCAGCCTCCCTGATTTGTCTTTTTAAATAAGAAATGCTGTCTGAAATGCACAAAGAGAACCAGTCTACTCATAACTAAGCAGGCCAGCTAGCTGCTCTAAGCTCTTTAGACCTTTTCTTTCTGTCTTCTAGAGCTCTCTTTAAAACTTCCCAGAGAAGCCTCCGGTCTGATGACCATCCCGAACATCAGACACCAAGACAATACATTGTTGCACGAATGTTTACAGATGTTCAACACAAAGCATTCATTCCTGCCGCTCCTTTTCATGTAAATTCCCACACGGCTCAATTGTTCCATTTGGAAACAAAAGTACAGCTTGGTATTCTCTGAAATACAGTGATCTATTTGAAGAGTGGCAGTCCTTAGAAGTGTCAAAGCGTTTGGCAATGAATGTGTTTTACACCTGAGGTTGCCTAATAATAAATGGGTATTGTAGCATTCTGCAGCTCTAAACACACAGGCAGTAAAAATAAACACCATTAGATTGCATCGCAGGGATTCCAGTTCAGTCATTTTGCTTTAAAAATGCACAGCTTACGAATAAGACAGTTTTGCCTTTTTCTTCTTATTAACTCAGTGATTCTAGCATAGAATTATAACTGCAAAGACAAGCTGAATCTTCAGCTTAGCAAGATTCTTTCATAAATCAGAAAAGCTTGTTGAAATTCTGAAGGACAAAACCATGACAGCCGTTATTGGTGCACAACCTCAGTTTGGTGAAACGATATCTTTGGTTATTCCCATCAAACTAAGAAAAAAATGGAAAAAAAATAACCTAACACAGAAGAAACCACCAAGAGTGCACTACAGGAGTGACTCTGCAACAGAAAACTGCTTAATAATTCTGCTGATAAAGTGTGAACCAGAAAAGAATTCATTTTTCTCTCCCAGAGCTCAGTTGGGGTGAGAAGACTTTAAAGTGCAGCTCTTTCACACAGGGAAGCAGGTTTGTCCTTCAGCACAGACAGGCAATGGATGTTAGAAAACCACAAACTCACTGGCAGTTTGGCCATTGGCTTTTTGGGGAGGCAGGATTTTACCCTAGCAGATGTGCTGAGCAAGAAACTGCCACTTGTGCTCCATTTCTCCTCAAAGTCAAATCACTCTTCAAGAACACTTTTCAGTGCTTTTACTTGCTTGTCTGCATGTCCAGTTCAAAACCAGCTCCTACCCACTCACATTTTCCATAAGTTCTTCTTACCCAAAGAGGGAAATTGGACCTCAGAAAATAATACTACAAGGAATTAAGTGATAGTTGGTAAAAGCCAGTTTTCAACACTCTAAAATGATTGCACATTTAATATTAAAGCTCAGGAAATTAAATATGCATAAATTGTGTCTGAAAGTACAATTTACTACTGAAAACAATGCTTGAAAAAGAAAAACAAAGCTTTTCAGACGTAAGGTGAATCTTAAATTGTTTTTTATAAAGCCATTCAGGTTTTAGTTTATGAATCATCCTGTTCCCTGCAATAATATGCTGTCTGTGCAATCAGTGATGATAAATGGTACATAATTGTAAACTTGATATTGGTTTTCAATATTGAATTCATCATTCTGTCCTCTTAACACATATTAAATACCTTAAAGAATTTATATATTTGTTTATCTGTGATTTTTTCCAATATGTAAAATTTATTAGTTTGCTAGTTTTTGAGAATCTAAAGGTAGACAACATCATTAATAATACTGAATAATACTGTTGGCCTTATTTATGCATGGCTCCCTTCTACCAATACAAAGTGTCCAAATCAGATACAAACATATTAGTTGTAGGCAGTACAGAAAATACAGCCTTAACTGGAACCAATTCTGCTCATGTTTTGTTTGACTTCCCTGATCTACCCAAATAATAATTGCAAGAATTTATTCTCATTTAGGAAGGTAATTCTGCATTCCTACAGCTCACATTTCACTTAATGCAGTGACAGAATGGTTGAGTAAGCTACCAAATTTGGAGAAATACAATAAATACTTCAGTCTAAAGAGTAAAAAAAACTTAGAGATCCCTCACAGCTTCAGTCCTTCAAAGACCTCTTTAATACCAGGGGCCCATTCCCTTAAATGTGAAGGTGCATTTAAATTGTCCCAGCACACGTGGTGAAAAAAGTACAGAAAGCAGGAATCCTGGGTAACACTAGCAAAACTATGCAGATCAGTTCCAGCAATTATTCATTTAATTCAAATAGATATTTAGCATGTGTCTGCAGGACGTTCCTCCTTACTGCTGGATGAGGTAGAACCAAGGGGACGGGAAGAATCTCATCTGCACACTGCCAAGCAGTCACCAAACATGTAGTGAACATCAGCAGCAGTACTTAGAACTGGGTTAGAAGCTGAAAAGGCCAATCCCTTCAGTTTGTCTGATAATTCAAAGAGTTAAACTGAACTGAAGGACTTAAAGGACTACGCAACTGCATTTCCTTAAACTGAGGCTGGACCAAAGAGGAAACCTGGCACTGATGTTAATAATGCAAGAGGTGCTCGGTGAAGGGAGAGTGATATTAAGCAGCGGCCTTTCTGCAAAGGCTGGAAGAGCCACAAGCAAGCATGGAGAGAAAAAAAAAAAATGAAAGAAGGAGCAACTGAAGAAGAACTGATTCAATTTGTGCACCCACATTAACAGCGAGTTCCCCAAAATCCTACTTCACACAGAAATCCCTGCAGACTGCTCTCACTTACAAAACTCCCCTCTGAAGAAGGCTGACTAGAGTTACAAGTACTAGCAAGAGTAAAACAAGTAATAAGGAGAAACTAAGGGCTGAAATAGATAGAAATTCATGTGACTGGCATACTGAAATAAATGTTATATTAATTT